CCACTGTTATGGTCCCAAATATCAATAACTATTATATGGATAGCTATGACAAGCCTAATGACTTCCTCTAGAGCCACCGGGAGGTTGACATTTGTGGGTTGTAAGTAAGTAAAACAACAACAAACATGAAATTTACAGACATGCATGTCCCCCTTAAAATACATTTTAATAGCTTGACTTTCTCAAATGTTATCACGCTACCACACAAAACTAATATGTTAAACATGGTAAACATTGTATAAAGAAACACTATACTGACATTGCCTATCTGTGCCGAAGTACAGCCACAAGGAGCTGCTAGCACCCAGAGGCCACTTGGAGAGCAAAGGGCAAGAAGACTTAAATGGAACTCACTTGCCCTTTTGCATTTTCAAACTATCATTGATCGACCACCACTGCAATACTGCTTTTAACAAATCATCAGAAATACCCTGCAGACTGAAACTGAAAAGCAATTTGATCTTTTCATATGAGTGAAAACTCATTAACTCCAGCACGTTTACATTGATTGATTAACCTGAAATATTGATTAATGTGAATTGATTAAATAAACAAAATAACCAGACATACTGTACATTATATCACCTAATCACTGCATCAGATGCACAACTGCAATGCACTGTGGGTGATATCCACCTCGGAGTGACCATCGTTGTTCACTCAGCCCACAGAGGGTCGATGTTACCGAGTTCAATTCAGTTTTTCAGACAAATGGAACAACACTTACCATTGCGGTGGGGATTCTCCCGAGGGCAAGTGTCAAGGGGAAGTGAATGACTACTGAAAATGTATTTTTAGCCAGACTCTAGCCCTCTAGCTAGTGAAATATTATGTTGTTGGAGTTTTGCTGATCAGTTCTAGACATATATACATATATATTTGAAAGTAATTGTTATTGTAATATATATTGATTAAATGAATGAATGAAATACAGTTCTGCATCTTGCCCTCTCTCCTCCAGTTGCTGAATTATGATAATTAAGGTAATTTCTTTCAATTAGTTGTTTTCTAATTAAGAAATCTTTATAACTGGGCACAAACTGATCATCAGAACCCAACAGAGACCTTCTGTTCATACCTGCTGCGTCACCTGAGGTCTTAAGCAGCCATGTGACTGTATATATAGTCACATTCTCACTGTGCAATCCTATTAAATGCCAAAACTGCTGCATGTTTGTTATAGTCATTATGATCTTTCAGGAATAAACTGACAGCTCAAGGTAGCCCGTACAAAGCTGCAGAAATATAACATGAAACTTGACTATTCCAGGACACAGTTATACAGTAACAGTTATATTGCTGTAACGCTGTAGGCTGCATTCAACACATGTAGTCGGCCTAGATGCGCTGATTTAATGTGCTAGCCCCAAATAATCTAATCCCCACCCTCCCTTCAATAATCCTGCCAGCAGGTCAGTTTTCAGGCATGTCCGCAGCACAGATAACACTCTGTTGACTGTATAGTGGTTTAATATATGAATTATTTCTTCTATACGCTAGCTTAGATTCTGCAAAACAACCACAGGTGATGTTCAGGTGCCATAAGACTCTTGGTTCAACCTGCAACCTGTGATGACAGATGGAATTATTATTATTATTATTATTATTATTATTATTATTATTATTATTATTATCAACTGTCTGTATGCAGCAGATGGGTAATTACACAAAACAAACTACCCAAACTCAACATAATGTAAAAGTTTCTTCCCTTCTTCTGACTTCATTTGTCTTCCTTCATTCAATACATTTTTTATACCAGCTTATTTCTATTCAGGACTGTAGCCTATTCCAGGATTCACTGGGTGAGAAGCAGCTTTCCCAGTTTCATTTTCCTCTCCTCAAAGGGACACTGGGGATGCTCTAACACTGTAGTGGAGGCTGTTTTTTCCCCCTCCTTTTTCAAGAATTCACGTTTTATTCTGAGCCCCAGCCAGGTTCAGTCTGTATTACTTGTGTCACTAAAACAAAGGAAAGTCTGCTGTTGGCACGGTGGAGCAGCCACTCCATGGAAGACAAATGAAGTAATGACTTTGTGGAGCCAGAAAATTTGAGCTGTCACACTAAAAGGAAGTTGTCTAATTAACATGCAGCGCACTCAAAGATCAGTTCTCCCGTTTCTAGCTTCAGGAGAAAATAAACTTGCTGCATGATCACACTGGCTCATAAGCTTAAGAGATGTGTTGAAAGTTACTGGTTCTAACAAAATTTACAACAATTAGGGTTAAGAAAATATATATCCGTGGAGACCTTTCAATTTCCTTAACTTAACTTGAGCTCCAAGTAATTGACCCGTTTGCTGACATTTCCAGCTATTAAAAAAAAATGTAGTGAAAGCAGTGGCACAGAAATGAGCCCATTCATTACTTAGTTTAAGTCGGCAGCAAAACTGTTTAAATAATTTTCTCGCTGCAGTAATGACTTTTGACTTTTCATTGGTTTTTCTCCTTATATTCACCATAATTACTGACAGAAGCTCACAGATCCATGGCTTCCCGAAGGGCCTTGAGGAATCAGCAAATGAGACCTTTTTATATCTTCAGACATTAGTTTCACTGTAGTAGATCGGTTAGTTCGCCAACCGATGACATGCTGAGGATGAGTCACGTTCTGATACTGTATAAATCTCTGTTGCGTAATATTCACACAAAGCATCGCCCTAATGCATTGAATGTAAACATTTGTAAGTTAATTATTTTTAGTCTGATTGTTTCATGTGACCCTGGGCAGCCTTAAAGTCTTTGATACAACTAAAGAATATGATATAATGTAATTAAATACAACATATAGACTTGATGAACAAGACAGAACTGATAAGAATAATCCTTACTTTGATAGAATAAGGTAACAGTAAACAACTGTTGACATACTTTCTCATTGTTTAGTGCACAGAAACAATTCTGTATGTATAAAAATAATAAATAATCGCAAAAGCAGCTATTTATTCACATTAATAACAGTGAAAAAAGACCCAAATTACCATAAATCATTATTACAACCAATAAGGAAATATTTATGTTCATGTTAATTATGAATGTTGTATATGTTACATACATAAATACATTTATTCATTTTATTTGATCATAAAACAAATAAATCTACAACATCTTATTCTAAAGTTGTTGACTTTGACTTGCACTATGAAAGGAGTTCAAGTTTGATCGATTTATGGTTGATGATGTTATAAAACCACAATAAAGGGAATAAAAATAGACTTTGGGGGGGATTTAAGAGAGAGAGTAGAGCTGTGTATAAAGCACTGTTAACACCAGTGACATATATAATATATAAAATCCATTATATTTAACCATGTTTGCAGTTGGAATCTGATAAGCCCTGAGCAGAAATATGCTTTATTCTCTGTGGTGTACAGTGTGTTTTTGGGGCTATAAAGGGACTGCAAACACAAAGAGGATTTAGCAGGAGACAGATGCTCTTCACACATTTGTGCAATTCTGCCATCTAACATACTTCACTGCCTATCATAATACTTATAGCTCACTAACAGCCTGTGGTGCCACTACTGCCGGAGAAAGGAGAGCTGTTTCTTGGCACCCGCAATGCAGAGCAAAGAGGAGTAAGCTCAATACATCAGACGGGGTGGCTTCAGAGTTTAAAGCAATATTGTACAATAGATACATTATTTTTCTACTCTTATTAGAATAAAAAACAAAATGTATGTGGTGCTCCTCAGATTTTGACAGTTCAATCAGCATCTTTGAACATGAAAAAGTAAAACACAACAACACTACAGTTAACTGTAAAAACAAGGGGCGAATTTTGAGACTTTTACTTTTAAAATGATTTAAAAGGTGAAATGATGGGACATCCTTGCTTGCTGGTTGGCTGGTTTGCATCCTGCCTGCACTGGACTGTGCTCATGTATCACTTCCCTCCCTTGTCCCTTTGCACTATGTCCACTAAAGCAGAAATGCCCCCGAAATGTGCAGTGCTGTGTCCAGTGAAACCAGTTATGACCACATCACCCAAGGCTGAATACTACCAGATTAATCTCTCCTGCATTCTCCTCCCTTCTGTCTCACTCCCACCTCCCATTTGTCTATTTTAACACTGAGAGAAAAATGCAAAAAATAGCTTTTTTGTTTTTTTATTTGCATCCAGAGAACCTGAATCTGGCTATATTTTCTTTATTTGTACATCCCCGCAGAACAAATACATTATAGCAATGCTTTTTTACTGTGTTAACCCCTATGACATGTTCCAATACGCAAATCACTGATGTCTTGGTTAATGATGCTCAACATTTTTTACTCCACTGTGACATGTGTAGGAAGCTGTGTGCCTGCCTGCAGGTCATTGTCATCGCTCTGTCATCTCATATTTTGGGTGAAGGTTGGCTATTCTGTGTGTGCATGTCTCTCTCTGTGTGTGTGTGTCTGTCTGTCTGTGTGTGTGTGTGTGTGTGTGGTGGGTCTAGCCTGACTGCGCGCCACCTCTCCATCAGTGCGTGTGCACGAGTGTCCGCAAAGCCGCTGCTGCTCCTCTCCAGGCGCGCAGAACCATCCCCAAACTTTGACGAGCTGTAACCTTCACCAAGGCAACAAAACAACCAGAATTATAAGAGAAATAACAGATTTTAGGCTATTTTACAGGTTGCGTCTCCTAATTCGGGTGGATCAAGGTGAGTAAACCTCCGAGCTTGAAATTACAGTCATGTGTTTACAGTACGCATTTTTTTTTCCACTGAAAGGCTGAAGCTCCTGTGTGTTTATTTCCGACTGTGTTTTGCATCTACAAGTGGCTCCGGAACCGACATGAAGTTTGTGAGGCTGTCATGGTTTTTGCAGAAACGTGATAATGTAACGTTATTTTTTAATTTCTCTTAGGATTCAACTGTTTTCTTTCGTGCGTTTTCGTCCTTCCTCGGCGTTATTTGTCTATCCACATCACTGATTGTCACATATGCATTTTTAATTTTGCTTTAAAGAAAATTTTTGTTTATTTTGAAGGTTTTTTTTCAACCTTACAAATAGGTGTCAACATGGAAAGCACTCCGGTTGAAATTTTCAAAGAAGACAATAAGTGCCTGTCCACGCTGCTGGAAGACTGTGCAGTGAATTCTTCATCCTGGGTGTCCGGATACTCAGACAGCCGCAATGTGACCCACGATGATAGCTGGGAGCAGGAGGGCATGTCTCCCATCATCCCCATCATCACTGCAGTCTACTCTGTGGTGTTTGTGGTCGGCTTGTTGGGCAACTGCCTCGTCATGTATGTGATCATCAGGTAAGGTCATGTTTCTCTGATATATTACTATACAAATCCATGCAATCATTATCCTGTGCAAGAAATACACTGTAAGCTTATGTAGAAATATAATTTTATTGTGATTTTAAAGTAGCATTTTGAATTTAGAGCATTATCTAATTAGAGGGATCTAATCTGGGTTTGCACATGCAATGAATTATGCAATATGTTTTTAGAAATACATTAAACAACAGAGGTCCATGCTGAGGAATGTGTCCTCCACTGTCGCTGTAAATCTCATTTCTTGTGTGGTGGAGAAGACGCTGGCACCAACCCTTAGGGATTTCATAGTGACCTCCAGGCCACCTGGTCTGTGTCATAGTTCTCCTCAATGCCTGCACTGAAAGAAGGCATATTGCCCTAAAGCTCACTCATACAGCTCACCTAAAGAAGTAGCTTGTAATGTGCGTGTAAATGGCTGGGACCACATATAAATATATATATGAGTTATATAGCTCACAAGTCACAGGAGACAAAATTAAGTTGCATTTTGATAGAGAACGGGTTCATATCAATGCTGTCGCTTCAACATTCAATATTAAATGCATGGCAATATAGAGTTGATTCTGCTTCCTTCAATGGTCGAGAAGTGCCCGAAACCTTTACAGTGGCCAATTTTATGAATCTAATAACCCTCTGGACCGCCACCATATAATAACAATATTCTGTAAATCTCTCCTAGTCTGGTGGGCATGATATTAATCAGAGTTGAAACCAGTGGCGCTTTATCAAGCTGATAGCCTGCTTGCACCTCGTTGGGCCGTTATTTATGGGATGCGAGAGCAACATATCTCCCCTGATGTAATGTGAAATGCAGCAGTGCCATCCAGAATGCTTCGGTCCATAGACAACAATTACCTCAAATCAGATTGATTGCGTTGGCTGTCAGTAGAAGCCAATTTTATCACTTCACTTCCAGAAGATACTGTATGTTTTACTGTTTAGTTGCATCCATTCAAGTTAAATAAAAAAGAGGTATTGTGTTGATTTAGAGCAAACAAATTTCTGAAATTACCCTCATCCAAAACACTTAAAGTCAACATAGACCACAAATTAGACGTTGAGCTATCCGCTATAGACTACCTGACATGGCAGTGCAACCTTTATGGCTTTAAGTGGAAATGGTTTGTACTGTTAAAGCCACTCTTATCAATAGTTTTGTATTAACAATAGATCAGGTGACTACATGTAATGTGAAAGGTGTCACTGGTAGTTATATACTCACACATAAAGATCACCCAACTCTACAGTTGTTAGTGTCTTTCAGCTTTTTGTTTTGGTTTCTGATTTGTTAGCAAGTTAGAAAAGTTAGCATTTAACAGCTAAAGAGTCAGATATTTCCCTCAGGACTTGATGCACAGCGAAACACAGATAGAAAGGAGAAAGGAGAGTAATGTTGGGCTTTCATTTGGCAGAAACACAACTCCAAATAAAGGCTAATGTTGTTTGTCAAAACATGTTAGCAAAAACGTTGAAGCTACAGCTAGCAGTCTGTTAAAATGATTAAACAAACAAGAAGTGTTTGTTAGTGAGCTTTAGATGTGCAGGTAGGATTTTGTTACGTTAAGACAGCCGTTTCCACCTGTTTCCAGTCTTCATGCTAAGCTAAGCTAATTGGCTGCTAGCAGTTGCTTCATATTTGACGTGCGTCTGAAAGTGGTATCAATCCTCTCATCTTACTCTTGGCAAGAAAGCGAATTAGTATATATCCCAAAATGTCGAATTATTCCTTGAAGGCTTTCAGCCTCTAAAATAATTTGTTATGTCATCAGTAGTGCATGTAGGATTTATTCAATGGAAAGGTTTGATTTTGAGTAATAAATGATCTTTTTTGCCACAATTGGACATCAGTCACAATCACAAATGCAGTTTTAATAGCAATAGATAATAAACAAGCACATACTGTCTGCTGCTTGCAGTGGGAGAAACACGTGTGAATACAACTTTGCTGTTATAATGAACATGTGTTTATTGTAAATATTGAATCACCATTAATCAGAATAGGCAATTCTGAATCCTATTTTAATCTCAGTGCTTCAGTGCTTCATTACATCCTCTAGGCGTTACCACTGGTAAAAATTAACCCTTTAAATTACATTTTAAATTAAACTTTGCAAAAGTAATCATATATTGCTTTAATGCTATTATAATTTGATGAGTTGAAAACAAGTTGATTATACATGGCCTGCAATCAGCAGCATACTATACATAACAATGAAGTGTGAGTCAGAAAAATTACATTACAGATTCAAGGAAGCAGTCTGGACTAATGGACAATGTTTAATTCATAATGAGCCAAGAAGGAAGGTCTTCTAAAGAATCAGTCAAGCAGTATATGACAGACATGTCCAGTGTGGATGGAGGGTTAGCTCTGGTCACCTCTATCCACCTCCATAATACAGGACAAACTTGTGTTCTGCATGTTTAACAGGTACACAAAGATGAAGACAGCCACCAACATTTACATTTTCAACCTAGCCCTCGCTGACGCCCTCGTCACCACCACAATGCCCTTCCAGAGCACAGACTACCTGTTGAACACCTGGCCCTTCGGTGAGGTGGTGTGCAAAGTCTTCATCTCCATCGACTACTACAACATGTTCACCAGCATCTTTACTCTCACCATGATGAGCGTGGATCGCTATGTGGCCGTGTGCCACCCGGTGAAAGCCCTGGACTTCCGCACTCCGATCAAAGCCAAGATGATCAATGTGTGCATCTGGATCCTGTCGTCAGCTGCGGGGATACCTGCTTTTGTTCTGGGTGGCACCCAGACGAAGAGCGGTGAGGAAGTGCTTTCACCTTCCTGTCAAAGTTTCAAAAGCCATTTTTTAATTAAAGTTTGTGCTGGAAATATTCATAATAAGAGCATAAATGTATTCTATCAAGTCCATCAGTGCAGAGTTTTCTATTAGCCACACATCATGCATCATTCCTCTTGAATATAGATGATGTAAGAAAAAAAAAGAGTTTAGAGGAAAATATTCCCATTTGAGCTGCTCCTTAACTGCTTTCTAAATTGGTAGCAGAAAGGCAGAGAGTGGAATTGTATTTATCATAAAGCCACAGGTGCACTTCATCACTTAATTCACATCTTCTCCCTCCTTCTCTCCTTTGCTCCTGCAGACATAACTGAGTGTGCCTTACAGTTCCCAGAGCCGTACGTGTACTGGGACACACTGATGAAGATATGTGTGTTTGTCTTTGCCTTCGTCGTGCCTGTGCTCATCATCACCGTGTGCTACTCCCTCATGGTCCTGAGGCTGAAGAGCGTCCGAATGTTGTCCGGCTCACGGGAAAAGGACCGCAACCTGCGCCGGATCACGCGGCTGGTGGTGGTCGTGGTGGCCGTGTTTGTGGTCTGCTGGACGCCCATTCACATTTTCATCCTGGTCAAGGCGCTCGTCAGTGTTCCCGAAACCACCGCCATCATGGCCGCGTACTTCTTCTGTGTGGCTCTGGGCTACACAAACAGTAGCCTCAACCCTGTCCTCTATGCCTTTCTGGATGAGAACTTCAAACGCTGCTTCAAAGACTTCTGCCTCTCGGCCAAACTGAAGGGGGACAAGGTGTCAGGGAGCAAGAAGAACCCCAGCACTGTGCGGGAGGCCGCTGTTCCCCTGGAGAACCCAGATGGGACTAGGAAGCCCACATGACTAGCAGTGGAACTGTCTTCAATTTCCCACATTGGAAAGGAAGACTCGCATGACCTGGGCCTAACCCATGTCACATCAACAATGTAGACTAGTTTTGAGAAGTTCACTCGATTTATTTTCATTATCACCTGGGGGTTCAACCAGTGCCAACACTGATATGATTTCATTTCAGAGATCAAAGAAAAGTTACGCATTATAAATTGTATTTCATATTTTCAAAAAACACCAAGCTCCTCCGCATGACAATAACTTCACAACTTCCCCTTTGCTGTGACTTTTTCTCACTCTGATTCATTTTTATTCCTCTTGGCAGTTGGCAAGAAAATGTGGTTAAAGCTGTAAAAAAGATCAAATGTGGCGGCATCTATTTTCTAACCATCTTCTGTCCTTATATATAACATATATAATTAAGAAAGGACTGCTCGTTGATTATATATAGATTACAATGATATGATGCCAACATTTCTCAGGAAAATGGTTGATTATTTAATGGAAAAATTAGAAAGAGACTGATCTGTAAAATTATTGGCTCCTGTTGAGTTACACACAGTACACTTGTTACATCGATGTTTTTAATGCTAGTTTAATTGCATTTTGTTTACGCGTTTCTCAGATTTTATGTATTCCTGACATTTCCTCAAATCATTTTTCTATTGCCAAATGTGCCTTTAACAGTCCAGGATAACACATGTTTGCAGCAGCGGAAAACAATTTAAGTAATGACAACTGAATGGGGTCCAACTGCACTTCATGCAGAAAGTTTTCTTCGTGCAGTTAACACGCAGGTAGGTGGTAGTTGCATGAATCTCTGACAGCCGATATGTGCCAAAATCCTTTTCACCTGTGGGAAAAGTTTGGAGTGTGCTGATTGACCACAATGTGAGAGAGAAGTGACTCATGATGGACTTTGAAGTGGTTGGGAGGTAAACAAAAAGTTGCATCAAAAGCAAGTTTGTGGCTGATAAAAGGTCAATCCTGGACTTGAATGTGCATTTAATATTTGACAGAGGGCTCTCTATCAGCTTTGACTCTGGAGTTGTGTCCAGTTGGATAAGTTGTTCAATTTACGGTATATAACTCCATCACATGTGCTGTTTATGGCTTTTACCATGATACGCATCGTCCTATGGAAATACTCATGCTAATATTGTAGAGAAATGTTCTATCAGCGCAATCTGAAAACACGAATATCTGTTTGAACAAAGTTGTGCACATTGTTAAATACTAATAATTATTCTGCAGACTGTACAGTATTATAGTATGTATGTATACATTATTTTGTAAAAATAAGAAAAAGGGTTGCACAGACTTCATGGGAATAGTGTTTGTAGCATGTCAACAATCATTGCTATAATAGTATAATGCAACATCGGCAGCCTATATGCTTCATGGACTGTGCTGTTATTTTGAATGTATTACAAATAGACTGTATTAAATAAACATATCCATGGTAAATAAACTCATTTGTCTCATTAGAGGAGAACTTCAGCTAATATTTAAGTAATTCAGTAATAAACTTCATGTCCATAAACCAGAGCTTTGTGGGTTTTTGGGTAACTTTATTTTAAGTGTTGACAAATCTCTAATCACATCATTATACCGGCATAAAATATTTATAGCACAAACATTCTGTTACTTGAGAAAAAAAAGAGACATTATTCTAAGAAACTACACTGTGACCAAAACATCTTTGTTTGTTTTGTTGTTGTTGTTACTTTTCAATCTCTGTGCTTACTGTTTAAAACTGCTGCTGCTGTATATTGGCTTTGTCTGCTGTCAACTGAACCGCAGATGTATTGATCAAAACATCCTGTGTGTGAAGTGCTTAATATTAAAGCGAATTTGACAAATCCATGTAGATTCTCTTCTCTCAAGCTCATCTTTAGTTTTTATGTCATTTTTCTGCACAGGTTTGAGTTTTAGTTGAGGTCGAGAGTCTTCTGCGGGTGTAGATTTTGTGCTTTATTGTAAGCCAGCAGCTCCCTCCAGAGGAAGTCAAATGTAATTACTATAAAATATGTGTTCTGATTTAAAATAAACCCAATTGTGATTGATAGTTCAAAGCACATAAGTTGACATAAGCAGATGGTTCACTGCAGCCATCCACATTAATGCTTAAATTATTGGCTCATAATTGATTATCTAATCAAGAGAATATATTATAGTTTTTCAATAAATACTTAAGTAAATAAAAACATTTGCTGGTCATAGTTTCATTAGCAAAGAACTGCTTTTCTTCATCTCATATCTAAACAAGTTAAATACTTAAATCTAGATAAAGTAGTAACCATAAAGCATTTAACTGAGAACTAATCAGTACTTTAATCCATATAATAAAAAAATACAACCTTCCCCTTTTTCTTTACTCGACGTTGCCTGAGATGTTTCTTTTTGTGATTTTGTTTTAATGTGCTGCCTTTTGTAAAGCACTCTGCAACACGTTTTCTTAAAAGGTCCACTACAAATAAATGAATATTTTCTTTTAAGGTAACTCCATGTAAAATGAAATGAAAGAAACCAAACTATATCAGAAGCATCCTGTCATGGCTGTGGAGAGGCACGCTCATGTTGTGGCTTTTCCTGGAGATGAACCAGTTTCTGGTTTAATGTGAAATGTACAGATTCACCCCCTGTCCAGATGTGTTTACACAAAAAAGGAGTCTCTTATTACATCTGCATTTCTGGCAGTAAAACATTAATGAAACTGAGAACAACAACAGGACTGCATATGAAGGGCTAGAATATATATGAGAATGGAGAAAGCAGCTTATAAGGAGAGAGAGAAGAGAACTCTATGGTAAAGGACATAAATAAAACATATGAATGAAGGCAGACATGCCATTGACCCCACCCTTTGTTATTGTGTTACTGTATATCAAACCTAGTATCCGTGTTAAACGTTCAGAAGTCACTTCCTTTTAAAAAATAAATAAATAAAAAAATAAAATAAATGTGTATATATGTGTGTATTATATATATATATATATATATAATCCAAAAAAAATACAAACAAATAATATAAAAATAAATAAGAAAAACAACAACACCACCACTTCGGAGGGGCGGGGCTGAGTGAGTAATGGTCACCTGACCCCTCTGACGTCACGCAGCGGCCTCTCTTCCGGGTGTGTTTCTCGCTCGGAGGTCTCCGGTAATAACTCTCCTTCTTGTCTCCGCGTCGATTAAAAACACCTCATTTCGCCGACATGAACCGCATATTTGGCAGCGGGAAACCCAAAGCTCCTCCGCCGAACCTCTCCGACTGCATAGGGAATGTGAGTATGGTGCTGGAGTCACTTTTTGAGCGTTGTCTTGAACACAGTAAACAAAAGATGGAGCTTTCCTCTCGCTTTAGCTTTTAGCCAACTTCTTATTATGAGCAGAAAGAAAAGCCAGAGTTTGTTTATTGGACTGCCCATTGTCACAGTCACAGAGGGGCTATTTAAGATCATTTGTGGTGTTATTAATAGCACCCAGGGTTAACCCGCTGGGCGTTTTCTTTACCTGACACAGTGTATTGATAACATCTGTCGATAAAAAAAAAAGGTATTTAACTTAAACACAACAATGTTTTCTGTTCAGATCGTGAATCAGCATTATGTAACTGTCATACAGCAGAAACCATGTCAGTCTCTGAGTGAACTGACTGACTTCAACCAGTTTTACAGGTTATTTGTCTCAGCAGAGCCACCAGACAGCTGATGTGTTTCTCAATTAATCCTCAATTAATCTACTGTATATGTGTATTTTAAAGGGAAAACCTTTTAATCAATTCACCGATTAATCAGCTAATGACAACTGACTGTATTTATTCTGAACAAGCCCTTTAAACATCATCCTTTGTGTGTTTTCTTCTCTTTAAGGTTGATTCTCGGTCAGAGTCCATTGACAAGAAGATCGCCAGACTAGATGCAGAGCTTGTGAAATACAAGGATCAGATGAAGAAGATGAGAGATGGACCCTCAAAGGTGGGGTTTGTTGTCCAGTGCTGCTCCAATACACACAATAAAAAGGAACAGGTTGTTTTCTTGAAGTCCTTTAGGCTGCTACAAGCCAGGACTCAACTCACATACAAGTATAAAGCGAGCGTTCACGTACTCTTCGTCTTATATTTTAGTTTTTATTATAACACACACACACACACAGAGAGGAAGGCAGAGCCAAATACATGAGTGTGTGTTAGTGGAGAATTGGTTATTAAAAAGAAAACTGTAAGAAGCCCATTTGTGATATCTCGTCCAATACTTTTATGCTGTAAAATACGTTTTATTTAACTAACTTTAACAAAAAATGCAGTTTAATATTGGCAAAATTCTGATTTAAAACAGGAGTATCTGATCAAAGTTGGAACCCAAAAACGTATTATTGTTTAATATCCTGCCTTACTCATCATATACTTGGTTTTATTTGTTTTAAATGTATTTTAAATCTTTTTTTTCCATTCACTAGAACATGGTCAAGCAAAAGGCTATGAGAGTCCTGAAGCAAAAGAGAATGTAAGTCGTTTTACTTTTCAAAGCCAATTATATTATTAAAACTAACCTTTTATAAGCTTCAAATGTTTTCCTCATCGATCAGTTGTTCTCGCCGTCAACTGTATTTCATCTTCCAGGTACGAGGGCCAGAGAGATAACCTCATGCAGCAGTCGTTCAACATGGAACAAGCCAACTACACAATCCAGAGCCTTAAAGACACTAAAACCACAGTAAGAGAGCAAACAGATGGGATTTGATTTTCCACCCAGAAAGATAACACCGGGGGAAAAAGTGTCTTTCTGTTAACATTTGCTTTTTCTTTTTAGGTTGATGCCATGAAAACTGGCCTCAAAGAAATGAAGAAGGCATACAAGAACGTGAAAATTGATAAGATTGAGGTAACTGACTACAGATTTACTTCAGTAGAAGGGCCACAGACGCCATCTAACGCCGGCTGTAACTAAAATAATTGATATCAGCAGATAAGATGGTGTCATAGTTGATACATTTGTAAATATATATAGATAATGCATCCTTATTCTCCTAATATGGCATTCACACATTAAAAAAACCATCATGGGCTCTTGTTTAGAAGTGTCGAGGGTTATTTTATTTGACAGGTTAATAAAGTTACTGTAGTAGATCAAAAAATACTGTTTTCGTTGTGAGTTTGGGAGAATGTGTTTGGACCTGCATTAACTTTTTGTAGGGCATTCACTACAATAGACGTCTTTGTGACTGTCTTACAGATTAGATGGATGAAATATATAAACATTTAACTCTTTTGTTTTCTTTAATATTCAGGATATTCAGGATCAGCTGGAGGACATGATGGAGGATGCCAACGATATCCAGGAGGCAATGGGCAGAAGCTACGGTACCCCGGAAATTGATGACGATGACTTGGAAGCGGGTCAGTAGAATATCTCGACGCCAGGATTTTTCCAGGATCAGAAAGTTTATACAGAATTAAGCCAAAGACCATCATTTTCCAGTAATGATTACCCATTGAAAACAACAAACATGCTGTCGTTGAAACTCACATTTGTTGTGTGTCCACAGAGCTGGATGCTCTGGGAGACGAGCTCCTGATGGATGACGACAGCTCCTACCTGGATGAGGCTTCAACAGCTCCTTCCATCCCAGAGGGTCTGCCTGCAGACAGATCCAACAGGGTACTTCACAGTTTCAGGAAGCTTAACGATGAGTTCTCCCATTAGTTCGGAGGTTTCTTTAATCCACATTTCTCTTTTTGTGTTTTCAGGACGGTGTTCTGGTGGACGAGTTTGGCCTTCCTCAGATTCCCGCTACATAAAAGGAGCGATGAGACCACCAACGCTGTTTTTACATGTATCATAGCCTTTTTTCTATTTATCCAACTGACACTCCCAGGCTTAGACGGTTAGTAAATCAAAGCATCTTCTGTCCAAAGAATGGTTGAGTGATTCGTTTAAAATCAGACATCTTTCATTAAAGGTTTTATTATTCTATAAGTGAGCTAATGTCATATATATCTGAAGTGATTGTTGGAATCGGGATTCTCTTAACTTTGTACAGTTTCTGCAGCGTTGAGTTGCTAAGAACTAAATAAATTATATTTTTCAAATGATGAAATAAAAACTTCAAAAATGATTTATACAAAAGTCACTTTATTTTGAAATTAAACACATGAAAGTGCAGAATCAATAACATTCATCTGGTAATGACTGTTTTTAGAAAAATAAATATTTTTGGCTCAACATTCAAGATTCATCCATCCCATCCACAGCATTATCATCACCAGTTCAGCCTGTAAGTGTGAGGGAAGAGTTTCTGGTGCAGATAATCCACTATCTGGGACTTGTTGTGCAGTTTTTCGTATTCATAGTAAGGAATCTGAAAGAAAAAACATAATTCAGTCACTTCATACAAACCAATAAAGAGATCTGACATTAAAAAAGAAACGTCATACGGTCCTTCTTGTATTTAATGTACCTTTCTAGCAGCACATAATACAACAACCAGTCAAACATAGAGCCCTCTGGATGAGAGAAGTCAGTTATTCAAAATGTTCATGCTCCACTGGACAAAGAAAGAAGTAAAATACTTTGTTGTTCAGTTCCAAAATAAATGTGACTGAACTTTTTGTGTCGTGTAGATCCACAGTGATCTGTAAATAACAGCAGACTGACTGACTGTGGATAAACAGACATATTGTCATCTGTTTGGTAATGGTTCATTCAACGTGAACATTTTCAGAATATACTTCTTTTACACCAAAAGAAAAGGACCACTTTGAAGGTGGTATTCAGGTACTTAAGTAATGGTTTTACTGGTCTGTCTGTGGCCTGTGAAAGCATAAAAGTGAAGGTCTAACCTGAACAACTTCATATCCCAGGAGCCTCAGATGTCGCTGCTTGATGGCCTCTTTTCCCAGCAGCTGCCTCTTCATTGTAGTGAACCTCATTGGTCCATCAATGCAGACAGCCACCCTGCGACACATTGAACGACAGCATGTTTACACCTGTTGTTAAATCCCACTGACCGTCCAGCTCTCCAAGATTAACTTCACATTTAAAAATTCTAAATGTAGTAACCTTGCATAACACATAAAATCATTCACCTTTTGTACACGTCTTCATTATGACTGGCAGGTAGCACGAACCCATCTTCATCAAGTTTTAGCTCCACATCTACAGGAACAAAAACAAACATCAAGCCCTTGGTAGGTGGACTATAGGAAAACGTGAAGGAGATAACCAGCTGCTGACGCGTATGTTACCGAGTGTGTAGCAGTACGGTGTCAGAACTTTGGATGCAAAGAATGAACGATCCCCGAGCAAATGCACCAGTCCAGCTTTCACAGAGTTGTACAGCGGTACATCCACCGGCGTCTCCAGAGAGCGTCCTGGCACGAGGAAGGACCTGACGCGGTACTTCTGAAGGAGCTTGGTACCCTGAGGAGGAAACGGGAGTAAAAGGAACACAAATACATAAACACTTTCGAACTAAATACACCTGACAACATGGAAGGGAAAAGCAAAGACTCTTCCAATGCACGGTTTCTACAGGTTTCAATTTAAGACCAAGTTTCACACATACTTCAAGATATGAAGGGAAATCTGTATTGTTTCATTTTGTAGATGTTCTAGCACGATCAATACAAATCTTCCCCCAAAAATACATTTAAAAAGGTTGAAAAATGCAATGTCGTACAAGTAGCATAATATTCAGGTATACACACTAATTGAAAACATACCTATGCAAATGTATGTGTTTATATAATGTTAAGAAGAATGCCTTAATCTTATCGGCTATGTATAAAGTATATATCTTACTGGGAGACGCTGTGTTTTTGACCTTTGACGAACTAAAATGGGACAAATTTACCATTGCAAAACCACATGCAACTTGCATTACCAGCCCTAATTTTTAGTTTTCGTATATTTTTCTGATTTCTCACAGACAACTGACCAAAACATCAAGGTGTTTCCAGGAAAGCTACACTGGAACCAGGATGTAAAAGACCTGTTTTGGTCTCAGAATGAAAGCGCATACGTACCAAACCATGTTAAATAAGACAATATTATTACAGATACCTGGAACGCTCTGAACCTCACATACAAGGAAGAGGGTGTGTATTCAGGTTGGTGACTGCATTATTCCTTTGTCTTTCTGTTGGGCTGGCCTAATCTTTCACCGTTGACATAGTTTTACATACTTTACCTTATAGTAAGGACACTCCAGCTGCAAAGTCATGTGGAGCTGGGTCAGCTGTGCCTGGACGATCCAGTCTATCCCTGTGCCCTGATCTGGAACACAGTCAATATTATGAATACAGCCCAATACCACGAATCACAAGTTTGCCTCAAGAGGAAAAAACTCTGGTTCCAAAAATGAAAGAAATGCAACAATATCAACATCAGACAGTTATTTTTAATCACGCATTCGTGGAAAGGTTGCACGTATCGCAGGTGTCTGACAGGAGGCTTTACCTTGCAGTTGCTGGAGGAAGTAACTGCCGAAAACCTTGGACACGAAGTTGACAGGGAACCTCTCCACCAGCGTGCAGGAGTGGAGCAGGTTGAGCAGCGTCCGAGGCTGAAACTGGGAGAAGCGCGACTGCAGGACGCTTTCAACCTTCCTGAACACCTCGCCGGCGTTGGGAGGAAGGTAGCCGAGCTTTCCCAGAGCCATGATCTGCCTGGCCACCTGGCTGGTGTTGTAGTCGTCCGCTCGGTACACGAAGCTCTCCGCGATGGCGTCGAACACAGCCGGGCACAGGATGTTCCTCCGGCCGAAGAACTGAATCACCTTGGTAACCGCCTCTGGGTTGGAGGTGAAGGCCATCGTGGGAACGTACCTCTCCATCGCCTCCACGAAGCTCTGGTCGCTGTGACCAAAGTGCATAAGGGCCCCGAGCACAACGGTGAGCTCCTCGTCGGTGAAGCGAGGGACGTGCTGCACAGCCTGCTTACACAGGCCGATCACCAGAGGCATGCTCTTGGTCTGATTCAGGGTCACGAGAGCGCCGAGCAGCCCGCTGACAGCAGCCGGGTCCATGTGGGGGGTCAGCGTGACAGCGTGGGTGTGTATGGCATTCAGCAGATTCCGGTGTTTTTTCTCTTTCACCACGCCGCTTTGGAGAAATCGATAAACGGCAGCGAGGTCCGCCAGGCTCCACTGGGCGGGCTTCTGCTTCTCGATCTGCTCCATCACCTGCTTCAGCATCGCGCTGTCGGGGCCCTCGATGGCCATCATCGCATGGCCCAGGGTGCACAGCTGCCCCGAAGTCATCCGCCCTCTGTCTAACCTCTCCTGGCTTTCGGACACCAGCCGCACCATCAGGATGCTCCACGGATCCAAGAAGAGGCGCGTGCAGGCGAGGAGGGCCGATACCAGCCCGGCGTCTGTGAGCCGCCTCGAGTCCCGCTCCAGCTGCAGGCACAGAGCTTTGATGGTGTCGTTCTCCAGCACTCTGGGGTCCTTCAGGGATTTATCCCCCCGCTCCAGGTCGGCCACGCGGTGAAGCCCTGCCGCGGCCATGGTGTCGGACATGATCTCGGCCGAGCGCAGCAGCGTCAAGACCTGCTGGGAGGAGGAGCAGTTCTTCAGGAGCTGCTGGAAGCTCTCCTCCTCCGCAGCGGTGGGTGGGTGCAGCTGGGTCAGGCGAAACTCGGGCCCCGAGTGTCTGTGGAGCCCGACAGAGCTGCTGGCGATGAAGCAAGGCTCCCTGGCGATGGTGGTCAGGTTCCTCCTCCCGCAGTCCTGCTGGGGCTCCGTGCAGCCGCCGGTGGAGGTGCAGGAACAGGCTCCACATAGGGGCTGACCTACAGTGCTGGTTCTCAGGAGCCGGGTGGAGCAGACGGGGCCAACAGGAGGGCAACGGTGAATCCAGAACTGCCCGAGCAGCGGATACCTCTGGATCAGCTTCAGAGCCATGGAAAGTACTCCTCAGGCCCAGCTGAAAGAATGACAAATAAAAGCTTTAAAAACAAGAACAGGTTTTGGTTGTGATCCTTTATATGTTTAATAGACTCATAACTTTATACCTGTATTTGTTCAGTAGGCTCACACTGGGTTTGTATGTGTATTTTGCTATATAAATGTCATATAACAGCAGTTTAATGCCCTCTGAGGACTGTTATCTCTCTGTACCAATAACATGTGAGCTGTGTTGACCTCTCTACTCGGTTGCGTGCTTTTGCGTCACCCTAAAAACAGGTTTTAAAGTGTTTTCGCTCGACTACACCATGAAACTAAACTTACAGAACAAAGTCAGCAGACTCGTCACTCTCCTGTTAACCAACCAACCTTGAGCTGTTAGCTGGCGTTAGCTGCGTAGCTTAGCTGCCAGCTTCGGGACCAGCCTGCAAGAGTCTCGCTTTTACGCGTTTCTTCAAAGCTGACACTTGTGTGCGAGTGGTGGCATGAAGGACACATGGAGAGGATTACAAAAAAAGCGGTATTAGTCGTACCTGGACTCCCCGTTCACTGCAGAAGTGTCACAGGACGGCGGACGGGAGCGATGCTGTCATAACGTGGTTCCGTAAGGGCTGTGAGGCGTTCAAGGGGCCTCGTAAATCGGTACTTCGGTTAGTGGGCGTATGAGATCTCTCAACGTGTTTCGTGAGATTTGAAATGGAAGTCAGGTACAATGATAATAAATAGTGAGATAATATGACAATTTAGACTTGATTATGTGTTTTTATTTTAATGTTAAGTCAAGATTACGAGATAGAAAGTCAATATTATAAAATAAAAAAGTAGAATTAATGAATTAAAAATACATTCTTTAGAGAATAATGAGTTAAAAACACATAATTGTGAGATTAAAAAGTAAAAATAATTAGTTAAAACACATAATTGTGAGATTAAAAAGTAGAAATTATGAATTAAAA